TATATATATATATATATATATATATATATACGGCAGCATAAACAAATTAAAACACATAAAAAAAAAAAAAAAAAAAAAAAATATATATTCATACATACATATACGTACAGAAATACACACGAATAAATATATAAACATAAACATATACGTACATATACATATCTATGATAACAAGTACATATGTACGTACATATACATATAAACCTAAATACACACACATATATACACATAGACTTTTATGCACACATACTTAGATATATAAAAAACAGTCATGATATACCAAAGTTTCCATACCTACACATACACACAAAAAACTCATACATAATAGGTTCCAACACACACACCTATATATATATATACACAAAATACATAAATATATATACACACATACATACATATCTACAAATAAAAATATATATATATATCCATAAATATATCTACCTGCAATAACAACCACCCATATATACATGCATACATACAAAAATACAACAACTTTCAACCAAATACATATATAAACGAACTAACATATAGATACATAAATATACCTTCAAACACCAACACACAGCAATATACATATAGTCTAACATACAAATATATAAACACATTCATACAAACAGAAATATACTTAAATATAAATACACATACACAATAAAATAGGACATACAGATATATATACATATATATATATATGCACACACATATATATATATATACACACATACATACACACACACATATATATATATATACAAATATATTGTGGCACAAAGCTGAAATCAAGGGGCATCCAGTGAGGAACGAACTCATTACTCAGTCGCACCGTAATTTAGTGAACCATAAGATTTTTTAACCATTATACTGTCATATATATTTAATCATATACATACCTGTACATACATATACATACACACACACACATACATACATATATACACACATATATATATATATATATATATATATATATATATATATATATATATCAACCATATATACACATACACACACATATATATATATATATATATATATATATATATACATATATATATATATATATATACATACATACATACATACATATATACACACACACACACAAATACATACATATATACACACACACCCATACACACATACATATATAGGCACACACATAATTTATTATATAGTTTTAATAATTATTAACCTTTTCTTCATAAAATATACTTTTACCAAAATAATATATATATATATACATGTGTATATGTGTAGGTATTTTTGTTATATCATGACTGTTTTTTATATATCTAAGTTAAATATGTATGCTTTTCTCATATATGTATATATATGTGTGTATTTAGGTTTATATTTATATATACGTACATATAACTTATTATCATAGATATGTATATATAGGTACGTATATGTTTATGTTTATATATTTATTCGTGTGTATATATGCCCCGTATATGTATGTTTTATGAGAAAATATTTTATATTTTTTTTTTTTTTTTTTTTTTGAAATCGATTTTTATTTTTTAATTTTTTTGAAAAATATATATATATATATATATATATATATATATATATTTTTTGATTTCTTTATGTTTGTTTTTTTTTTTCAAATTTATAATGAAATATTATCAACTTATATGATTAATTTTAATATATATATTTTTTATTGATATTTATTGGTTTTTAGAGTTTTTCGTTTTAATATATTAAATAATATTATTTTAAACATTTTTATCTTTATATATTTTTTTTTATTGAATAGTGGTATTTATAATTCAATAAAATATGGTTAGCATTTATTTAAGTCTGAAATATTTTACTAATTTATGATTATATATATCAATGTATATGCCATTGTGGATGTATGTTTGTGTATATATCGGTGTCTATGTGTATGTAGAGTGTATTCACATTTAACTGTGTGTGTATATATGTTAGTTTCACGTCTCCTTTTTTTTCGTAAAGGGCTGTGGAGTTTTTCATGTATTCCCCCCCTCTTTTTTTTTTTTTTTTTTTTTTTTTTTTTGTGTGTGTGTGTGTGTGTGTGTGTGTGTGTATGTATCTAATTATGTCTGGATGCGTATGTATTATAATCTGATTGTGTTTTTGTTTGTGTCACGCGTGAGTTTAAGACCATATTCACAAACTTTTAAAATAAAAACGGAAAAAAAAAAATATATACATGTATTATCAGATGATCGACGAATTGTAGCTTTTTGTCTTGTCAGACGTAATTTCAATGAAGAAATGAATTGAATAAAAACATATATTTTTTTTTTTTTCAATAATTTTGTAGTTTTTAAACTTAATAGTGATTAAATTTGGATTTTAAAAATTATAATTTTTTTTAATTTTAATATTAAATTTTATCATATAAATTTATAATTATTAGTTAGTAAAAATTATTTTTAATATTACACGTATTTAAAGATCTAAATAGCTATAATAGCAGGATTTTGTTGTCAAGCTTTTTGAATCTTTCTATACTTCGTTTTTGATTGGTTATTCTAGCTTTTGTAACAAAAAATCCCCCTAGTGTAGGATCGTTAATTAATCTGAAACTTTTAAAACCATTTATTTTTTTTTCAACACCATCATCTTGATAAGACACAGAGTGTGTTGAAACAAAATGGCTATTTTTGTAGTGATTTTATAACATACTTATGTTATAAATTTTTTATAATAAAAAATATATATATATATATATATATATATATATATATATATATATATCTTAATTGAAAATGGGATTTTTTCAGTCATTTTGTGACTTGAAAGTTTTATAAGTGTATTGTAGTAATCCCTTCAATCTTCAGGGTTATTTTAAAAGCCAATCGCCATGAAAAGAGAATGTATCACATTATTACGGGTTGTGATATGTGTGCTTTATGTTGTGTTTTTATTGAAGTTATATTTTGGAATACATTTTGCTTTAAAAAATTATTGGATATTATATGGATTAATGACATAAAAGACTTCTTATTTATAGAGTTATATAGAAAATATATATATATATATGAACAAGATCAATCTACTACGTGGACGAAATAAAGTATTTGGTTCAAAATTAAAAAAATATATGACCTGAAGAAGGCAGGAGCGTAGAGCGGTCGAAACGCCGTGGCAATAAAGACGAGAACAACAGTCCGAACAATGTAACTACTGTAAATAATTATAATAGCGCATATCAGAAATATAGAGAGATGTTGCATACTTTCTTGTTGTTCGGTTGGCTAATGTTTTTAACAGCATATCAAAACCCCTATGGGTTATTTAATGCCGAAATCTAAATATTTTGAAGGCAATTTTATGATTTCAACCAAATATATCTTGAACATAATTGTATCTCTTCAGCTACAGGTAAAATGTATTGTTTAATTTTTTATAGATAAATGTATTGCTAGTATTTTTACTATGAAAAAGTATTTTTTATACTTTCATAGTATTTGGTTTTGGTGGGAGTTCATAGTTGGGACCCACAAGGTGCTACCACCCCAGGGTCAGAGTAGACCTAGAAACAAAAATAACTTGCTGCTGGATGTAGTTTATCGTCATACCCAAACTTGGAATAGGGGAAGACGCCTTCCAAAAACTAAGCAAAGTATTAAGGAACAGGAAATGTTGCGAAATCTTGTCACAGATACTTGAAGCGACAGACATACGATTCTACAAACGAAGTCAGAGAAACCCATGGACAAAACATTTTTTTTTAAGCATTACTCCCCGAGCAAGGAGTGATGCCGCTAGGATGCAGGGGGTTGCAGAAGATTTGGAGCAAGATCAGATAGGACTGATAGAAGAAAGGATGAGGAGAGGGATAGTGGATAGATCAAGGCAACTGGAGATGTCGATTGACATTACATTTGAATAGTTGGAGATTATAGCTCTCAGGGAAACCGTAATTGGGAAGGGTGTTCCACAGGCGAGAGGTGCGAGATATGAAGCTATTGGAGTAGAAGAGACGACTACATTTAAAAGTTTCTACAGTGTAAGAGTGAGAGAGGGATGCCAGCCTCGTAGGGCGCTTGAATTCATGGAGTCTGGGAACCAGTGAAAGCAGCTCATCGGAGCAATTACCATGAAAGTATTTGTAGAAAAGACAGAGAGAGGCGACTGCGCGTCTGTGAGAGAGTGACTGTAGACGAGACACCAGATCAGGGCCAATTATATTACATATCCGTCTCTGGATCTTGTCAAGAACTCCGAGGTAAACAGAAGGTGCCCCAGACCATATATGGCAGCAATTAATGATGAAGTTAAAAGGATAATTGAGACGGAAAGGGCGCTTATGCTTAGCATCAGAAAGCGGCAGATGAAATTTCTAGGGCACATAATGAGAAAAGACTGTTTGGAAAACTTGACACTCCCAAGAGGAACAGCGGAAAGAATTGATTATTCTGCCTAACGAGGATGGTACTGGGACGGCTATAAAAAAGATAGACATTGTTAAGATAGACAAAGGACAAGAAGATGTGGTGGAGAACCACGATTGACAACGTCCTGAAGTGACCCGGCACACAGAATATAAAGAACAAACTTTTTGTATATGGTTGGCAGAACAGGGATTTGGAGAGATAACAAAAAGACAAAAAACTGATATTAGCTACAAAAAAAAAAAAAAACAAAAAAAAAACGAACTTGTGGAGGACCTTGATCGCATGAACGGACACTGCAAATCGATGAGGTAATTGTAGAGTTATGCCGGAAAGCAAAATCACATGACCTCAGAGCGGCACCCTGGGGAAAGAGTAGTAATGCATAAACAACCGTCCCCAGACCAGGAATTCTCTCAAATATCGTAGCCGAGAATGTAAGGTTCACACCCCGTCCCAGAAAAAGAGAGAGGGGGAAAGAGAGAGAATTTGTATAAAATGTACCAGCAGAGATGATGAATCATGTCTTGTTTTTCTCATTAACCGGCATATCAACTTTATCACACAAGACTATTAGGAAAAAAAACATCTTTTGAGTAATGAACCATATTATTAAATTTTTTTTACAAATCATTCATTTACAGCCGGTATAAGAATGACAAGAAAGAAAGAAAGAAAGAAAGAAAGAAAGAAAGACAAAAAGAAAGAAAGAAAGAAAGAAAGAAAGAAAGTGATGACGAGAGGAAAAAGAAAGTACAGACCACAAACTAAAGAAGGCACATAGAAACGAGAAAGAGTAGAAAGAAAGAAAGAAAGAAAGAAAGAAAGAAAGAAAGAAAGTGATGAACGAAAAGAAAAAGAAAAAGAAAGAAAAGACCACGAACTAAAGAAGAAACTTAGAAACAAGAAAGAAAGAAAGAAAAAATCATGTCTCGTTTTCCTCATTAAACGACATATCCAGACAAGACTACAAGAGAGCACCTGTCAAGTACTTAACCATATTATTAAAATGTTTACTAATCATTCATTTACAGCTGGTATAGCTATATACAAAGCGTAGTCTTGTCTTGTACAAAGCCTCAATAATGGGTCACTTCTGAGTAACAAACCGATCGATACTTTATCCATGAGGTGAGGTTGCTAACATTCGTGTAGTGATGAACAATCCAAATAATAATTATTTATGATTGGTTGTAAAGACAATGGAAGCTATCCTTACGAAATAGACAGTGGAGATTTCTGAGACATCTCTCAATTGTATACAACTGCTTCACAAGCTCACTGGTGAAACAAGACTTTGATCGTGTGAAGCCTGGGGTTCTTGGCAATGGTCACCCCTCTCTGAACATTCCAGACTGGCGCTACAGAATCACAAACCAAGAAATGTACCAAATTACTAAATAAAGCAAATCTCTTGAGGAATATGCAAAGCAGCAACAATTAAAATGGATAGCATTTGTAACTCGAAGATAAAATAATGACTCCATCAAGGTGTTGACATTCTACAATACTTTAAACAAATGTTTAGGAAGGAAACCCCCTGTCAATATTGGAAAGATCGATAACAGCTACTGTATTTGAGAAACCTGTTTTCCCGGGTAGTTGTTTTTAAGTGAAAGATTTTTATAAATTTCAAGTGAAAGCAGTACTAGGTGCTCGTCCAATGAATGCTAAATGTTTCCTTATAAGGAAACGGCTAATATTACCATTACCATTAGAGATGAGGAGAACAGATATTACGCTTTGATTTCAGCTCAATGGCAAGTGAGTTGAGAAAATTGTAGCTTGAGAAGAATTTTAACGTTTACTATTGCCGTTAGAGATGAAGGGGAAAGAGACTAAACTGGTAATTTACACCCCCCTCCTCTTACGACAGTTGTGGTATAAGGCACAAGGTCGTTTTAAAGGGGAGATGCCAATCGTGTTCACAACGACTAGGCCAAAAATTGCCAAATCCCTGCAGTTAACCTCGCACTGACATTGAATTTCCAACGACCCTCTTATCTTCTGTCCAATGGGGGGGGGGGACGCTAAAGCAGGGTCCGAATGTCCAGGAACAGGCATCCCGCATTTATTTGTGTGGTTCTGTTCAAAGAAACACAACTGGGGGATGAAATCTAGTGTGTCTACCGTCAGATTCGATCTCAGCCCCGATAGTAACACTACTTGCTTGGTTAATGAATACTGAAAGTTGATGTTGTGGCCTTGTTAGCGCCAGAAATAAAGACACAAAGAGAGGAATTGAGTTAAATATATTAACAGAAACAGTAATACAAACATATACAAACGAGAGTGTTACAGCAAGAATGTTCGGTCCGAGTGTTAGATCTGACTGCTGGAAACTTCCTTCTCTAAAAGGCAGTACCTGCTCCTATTTATAGCTGGGGGAGTCCATGCACGCGTGGGTAAATTACCATAACACTTTCTTTCTTTCTGTTGTGGCTTTGTTAGTGCCAGAAATAAAGTCACAAAGAGAGCAATCGAATTAAACAAATATATTAACAGAAACAGTAATACAAACATATAAAAACAAGAGTGTTACAGCAAGAATGTTCGGTCCGACTGTCAGAATTGACTGCTGGAAACTTCCCTCTCAAAAAGGCAATACCTGCTCCTATTTATAGCTGGGAGAGTCCATGCGTGCGTGGGTGAATTACCATAACAGTTGATGAGAATCAGTGAAATAATTTGGAGGCAAAAAATTAAAGGATCAAACTGCATAATATTTGTGCAGGGATTTTGATTTCTTTATAAAAAAAAAAAAGTTCTATTTTTTGACATGTTATTAGCAACTAAACACTTAAGAATCAGTGAAATAATTTGGAGGCAAAAACTGAGTGTATAATGGAAACATCCAAAAATGAACTACATGCAGTCTAATGAATAGATTGCATATGATGCAAATAATAAGTGTAGCAGAATGGAAAATGCAATACAATGCCAAATTAATAACTTACATATTAATTTTGATTTTATTCAATCAAAATACACACAATCACCAGTAATGTTGTCAAATAAATGTTGGACAATAAAAATTGTCACTAGAGATGCAAATTTTTAGATTGCTTTCTTCTTTCTCTTCAACTTCATTTGTGTCATGCTCATCTTTCACTTGAGAGGCCATATGTAGCTTTATTAATGGAAATAACAGAGAAATAAGGGCCAAATAATCATTCAAGGATCAAGTGTTCAATGGATTTCTTTTGGAAATTAAGATACAGATAAGCTGCATCATTAAAAAGATGAAAACTTAGAATTTGGCATAAAATTTATTTTCCTGGAGTCATGAAGAAAACCCAAATATTTATTATTTAATTTCCATTATGAACTTTAAAATTATAGAAATCCAGATAAGAGTTACTTTTGTTTTATAGATCCAATTATAATGACCTCTTGAGAGCAACTGTTTAGAAAGATTTACTGTTTCCCATCCTCAATGTTTCTTCAGACATGGTGATATGGGAGGAAAGAGTACCCATAATACCATATCAAGTTTGTGTGACATTAAGAAGTACAAATAGCAAAAAGCAGAAGTGAATGTAATGCTTCACTTCACAAGTAGAACATGAGCAAGTCACTTGGATTCCTGTTTAAGAAGATACACAATTAAGATCATGCAGTATAGAGTTAACAACTTATTACTATACATTCGTCTAATCCTTACACTACAACTATAAACATTATCATTCATAACAAATTTATCAGAGATAGAAATAAAATCTGAAGTCGACAGTACAAACAATTGTACTAAAAGGGTCAAATCATTATAAAATATGACTAATTCCAGATATTTTATACAGTTTGTTTGAATCGAAAAGCTATTTGAAATGTTTACATATGAATAAGATTAACATATTTCTCAAATTGTATATTTATTTTGGTTAAAAATAAACTTGCCAGAATCATTTACTCGTATGTATGTATGTATGTATTCTCAAAATAAGTGTGGAGAAAAAATGTGGAACGTAAATGATTTATTTTTATTTTTTATTTTTTTATACACACCTATAACGGTCGGCTCCAAGTCTACAAACACAGCTCTGGGTACATGCTTCCCAGAACCAGTTTCACTGAAGAAAGTATTGAAAGAGTCATCTCCACTGCCAGCAGTCTTGTCGGACGGCATTTGGCCATTGGGCTGGATGCCATGTTCCAGGCAATACAATTCCCAACAGGCGTTACCAATCTGGACACCAGCCTAACTTACATGGATACTGATACACTCACGCTAAAAAAATAAAATAAATTAAAAAAAATCATCATATTTACTCAAAATTATGCAATGAATGCAAATCCGGCATTGAAAGATAATGAATTAGTTAATTTTTTACATTAAAAATAATACACACATGTATATAGGAGGTTAAGTAAACTAAATAATTTAGTGAAGAGAACTTTTTACACAACATTCCAACAAAGGAAACTATTTTTGCCAGCATACGGTAATTTAAATTAAACATGTTAATTGACAATTCAAAGACATTTGATTATGAAGTATGCATTAAAAATTAAAAAAGCATTTCCACTTAGGTTTTTAAGAGGTGTAACATCTCATTATTAGTAATAATTAAAATTTAATTTCATTTGCGTTAGATTTAAACTTACATTTTACATTTGTCTAACCCTTATATTATAACTATAAGCATTATCATTCATAACAAATTTATCAGAGATAGAAATAAAACCTGAAGTTGACAGTACAATCAATTGTACTAAAAGGGTCAAATCGTTATAAAATATGACTAATTCCAGATATTTTATACAGTTTGTTTAAAACGGAAAGCTATTTAAAAAGTTTACATGTGAATAAGACTTTAACATAATTCTCAAATTGTATGAATAATATTATACAAAAAATAAGTGAAGCATAAAGGGAATTGCAATACAATGACAAATTAATAGCTTACATATTAATTTTTAAAGCAGATAAGGAAAAAAAATAAATAAAAATTGGAGGATTTCTATTTTATTTTATTTTATTAAATATTTTTATTAAATATTTCTAAATTATCTGCAAGAGTGTGTTCAATTTAGAGCAGTTGAGGTTAATTAAAATATTTTCCTCATTCAATCTAGTACATATTCATAAAACATGTTATGGTATTAAGAAGTTATTCCTAATCCTTCTAAGTGTAGCAACTATTTGCAAAATTGTGTCAAGCAACCACAAACTGGAAAAGAAAGAAAAACGTGAAACAGAATTGCGACCAAAGCTTTTTTTAAAGCAGGTAATGAAAAAATAAAAAATTGTAGGATTTTTATTTTATTTTTTTTTTTTTTAATTAAAGGATCAAACTGCATAATATTTGTGCAGGGATTTTGATTTCTTTATAAAAAAAAAAGTTCTATTTTTGACATGTTATTAGCAACTAAACACTTAAGAATCAGTGAAATAATTTGGAGGCAAAAACTGAGTGTATAATGGAAACATCCAAAAATGAACTACATGCAGTCTAATGAATAGATTGCATGTTATGCAAATAATAAGTGTAGCAGAATGGAAAATGCAATACAATGCCAAATTAATAACTTACATATTAATTTTGATTTTATTCAATCAAAATACACACAATCACCAGTAATGTTGTCAAATAAATGTATGGATTTATGCTTTTATCAGAGCACTAATGCAAACTAATATTAATGACAAGAAATTAGAATTTAAATCGTTTTGCTCCAGTTGATTATGTCTTATTCACTGGACTATCTGTCACTCATACAGACATAAAAATTGACTTCTATACAAAAGAACACAGGGAGCACATTAACACCATTGGATAGAGTAAATTTTTTACTACAAAACATTATTTTCCCCATATAGTCACAACCATCGGTTATGCATTTTCCACAAGCAATGAACAAGAACCTACATGACAGGAATGACATCATATTTTATAGTGCCATATAATAATGATATATACGATCTGAAAGTAATGTCTACTTTTATTTCCATGAAAACTATAACAGATATAGGGAGCACAATAATACAGAGCAAGTCTTCAGCTACAAAACTCTATTTTCCCACAATTTGGCTATACATTTTTGCCTTCAAAAGTAATGCCTCTCATTTATTTCCATGAAAACTACAACATATACAGGTAGCACAATGACAGCATTCTTTTTTTTTAACTACAAAAGCACTCTTTTCCCATGTAGTTACCTCCATTGGCTAAACATTTCTCCTGATGAGGAATAAGAGCCTGCATACCAGAAATGACATCGTATTATAGAATAGCATATATAATAATAAAAAGGGGACACTCTGAAAGGGATACCTTCCATTTATTTCCATGGAAACTACGACATATGTAGGTAACACAATAACATCATTGGATAGCACAAGTTTTCAGCTATAAAAGCACTATTTTCCTACATATTCACCTTGATTGGCTATGAATTTTCACCATTGATGAACATGAAACTGCATACTGTACTCTTGAAATTCTGCATCAACAAAAGTAACTCCTACATCACTGTTTCTACTGCTGAAACACATTACTCAACACCTAACTGAGTTCACATCCACTGCTTGGTCTCTATAAATGTACAAGTGACAGTGAATGTCAATGAATGCAATATTTCTGGCATGTAGAAATTCAGTAATACATATTTGATTCGTATACACTTTCATGTCAGACACAATTTTTCCAGATTGTTGCTTTCTGTAGCAAAGAAAATATATTGTGGATTAATTGGAAAAGGAAACATCTAATATTGTCATTACAATTGCCTATGATATTGCATATGAAATAGGAACTTAGTCTGATAAAAGATCATAGTGATGAGGTTATTCGTGATGATCGAACTATGAACACTGACGGACTACGCGGTTTTTAGATGACACATTAAATTATTCTCACAAATACGCAAAACAGAGAGATATTAGCTTTGTCAATCGCCACACATGTATACGCCAGCACATGCAAGTTTTCTTTTAGCAACTGTAACCATTATATTTCGAAAATATTCTTCAGACACTAACTAATGAAAATGACGCCCACGGGTGGACGAATCTTCCATTAAAGTTTTGTCATTCGTGTTGTTTTTTTTGTTTTTTTGTTTTTTGAAGGGGTAAACTTTTGCGCGGTTGCCGTCTTTTCATTGTCAAGCAGACAGCGCGAGTCTGCTAATTAATAAGTTTGTTGATTATGGCACAATAGCAAGCAATTAAACTCCTTGGAAGCGAAAAGGCTCCAATGTAAATCGTCTTTAATTGACTGAGATCAATTGACCGATGGTGCGAGGGTGAACATCGATCGGAGGAAACGGTGACGATAGGAAAAAGAGGGGAAGCGGGATGGATAAAAGAAAGAAAGAAAGAAAGTGATGAGTGAAAGAAAAAATAAAGAAAAGGCAACAAACTAAAGAAGAGACATAGAAACAAAAAAAGAAAGAAAGAAAGAAAGAAAGAAAGAAAGAAAGTGTTGAGTGAAAGGAAAAAGAAATTAAAGACTACAAACGAAATAAGAAACATTGAAACAAGAAAGAAAGAAAGAAAGAAAGAAAGAAAGAAAGAAAGTGTTGAGTGAAAGGAAAAAGAAAGAACAGACCACAGACTAAAGAAGAGAGATAGAAACAAAAATGAAAGAAAGAAAGAAAGAAAGAAAGAAAGAAAGGAAGTGTTGAGTGAAAGGAAAAAGAAATTAAAGACTACAAACGAAATAAGAAACATTGAAACAAGAAAGAAAGAAAGAAAGAAAGAAAGAAAGAAAGTGTTAACTAAAGAAAAAAGAAATAAAGAACAATAAGCTAAAAAGAGAGAAAGAAATCGATGGCTGAAAGAAGAAATAAAAAAGATCAAATTACTGAAAGAACGTAACAATTTAAAAGTAAAAGAATCATACAACAAACTAAAGAAAACTAGAAATAAACAAAAAAGAGTAGAAAGAAAGAAAGAAAGAAAGAAAGAAAGAAAGTGATAACTTAAGGTGAAAAAGAAAAACAAATCAGAAAATAAAGAAAGAAAGAAGATAGAAAACGAAACTAAAAAGAAAATAAATGAATAAATTGATGACGAAAGAAAAAGGAAGCAAAAACTTAAAAGAACGACGAAACAAAAACCAAAATGAAAAGAAAGAAAGAAAAAAGATAATGGAAAGAGACAAGAATGAAAAAAAAATAAGGAAAGGGGGAAATAAATCGAGGAGTTAAGGATGTTTATAAACTAAGGGAAAAAAACAGTAAGAAAAAAAATGAAAGAAAAAAAGAAAGAGAGGAAAAAACGGAAGTAAATTGAAAGAGCAAGTAGAAGACACTACAGGGAGCATGGGAAAAATAAAGAAAGAGAGGGAGAATAGAAGAAGGTTAAGCGAAGAGAAAAGAAGTAGAGAAAGAAAAGAAAAAGAAGAATTAGAAAATGAAAGTGGAAAGAAAAAAGAAGAAAGAGAGAAAAAAAAATAAAAACGAAACTGGAATATTAAGCGAACAAGAAGGAATGAGTACTCCACAAGGAGACAGTTTAAATAAAAACTGAAAAAAAATCAGAAGCATGGAGATAGGATTTTAAATTATTAATATTGTGCCAAACTTATACTGAGAGAAAACCACCTGCATGCGGATAGAAAATCAATTCAGTAAATATACAAAAATAGAAAGGGTGTAAGACAAGGATGAGTCTCCTCACCGGACCAATTCAACCTATTGAATAAAACAATTCAGAGAGAATTAGGAGTCCTATCATTATTCATTACACTGTAAGAGAATTTTCACTTTTTTTGTCTTTGATCAGTAAGTGTTGTTTCCAAATTGCTTCTGTCTAAAAAGCTATGTAAATGATTATCATTCCCTCCAAACTTTGCTTTCTGTGAAAAGAGTACTCTGTGGTATCATCTGCTAAAATGTGTGAGACGTCCAAGGCATAATTCGTCATGCCTGTCGCGGATAAAGACGAACAAATGACAGCTCATTTCACGTACGAACTTTTTTTTAAAAAAAAAGAACAGTAGCGGGTGAAAGGGGAAGTTTTGTTTGTTTGGATAGTGGAATTTTTAAGTCAAAAAATGTCGATTTTTTTTTTTACTTTAAATATACTTTTATTTTTGGGAACCAATATTATTGAAAAATATGTATTAAATAGGTTTCAATAATCACGCATTAGTATCCTAGTTTTCTCTAAGGAATCACTAGCAAGAGCTATAAAAATACGAAATATTAGCCTTCGTGTATCTTCAAGACTTCTTCCCTAATCTGTCTGCGACAAAAGTTAAAGCCCGCGTCTTCGTCGAACCACAACTAAAGAAGAGGAGTACAGAATTATTTTCAACTCGGAATTAATTTCAACTCGGAATTAATTTCAAATCGGAACTAATTTACAACTCGGAACTAATTTCAAATCGGAACTAAGGATTTAGGTTAGGGTTAGGGGTTAGGGTCAACGTTAGGATTTTTAAATCGAGTTGGATTTAATTCCGAGTTGAAATTAATTCCGAGGTGAAATTAGTTGCGAGTTGAAATTAGTTCGTATTTTGAAATTAATTCCGATGTGAAATTAGTTCCGAGGCGAAATTAGCTTCGAGTTGGAATTAGCTCTGTCACTCAAAGAAGATCATAGAATGCAAGGAATGCCCCCAAAAGCTCACAAGGATGGAGAAAGCAATGTGAAACAGTTTTGTTGCACTGGTTCAGGAGTTCCTGGGGAATCATCAGGCCGAAAAACATGGAGGATATTGAGACCGTCGTGAAGGAATACGGCAAAATGGGCTGCAGGGCGCCCCTCAGAGTCCATATCCTTGATACTCATTTTCATAAGTTCAATAACATGGGAAGCATACTCAAATGAGCAAGGCGAGCGCTTCAACTAGAATATACTGGAATTTGAGGGCCTTTACCAAGGAGTGTAAAACAAAACATGATATGAGACTATATTTGGGGACATATTCGTGAAAGCAATTTACAGTATAAGCGTAAATTGCGAAAAACTCACTTCGAAATGTTTTGTGGTCGCTCCTGTGTAATCATACAATAAATAAATGCTACTTTTGAATATATTTTTGTTCCCACTTTGCGTGAATGAGAATGTTCACATTGACCAGTATTCACAATGGAAATCCTACCAGACGGTGTATGGTTTAGGAGATATAACAAAAATACAAAAAAAAAAACACTTTTAATAGCTACAGAGGACAGGGAATTTTGAAGAACTATGATCGCTAACATCCTGAAGTGATATGGCACATACAAGAAGAAGAAGAAGAAGAAGAAGAAGAAGAAGAAGAAGATGATGATGATGAAGAAGAATATGAATAATAATAATAATAATTAGTAGTAGTAGTAGAAGAAGAAGAAGAAGAAGAAAGGGAATTAGAAGATGAAGAAGAAGAATTATAAGAAGTAGAAGTAGTAGTAAAAAAGAAGAAGCAGCAGCAGAAGAAGAAGTATTAGAAGAAGCAGCAGGTGTAGTAGTAGTAGTAGAAGAAGAAGAAGAAGAGGAAGAAGAAGAGGAGAAGAAAAAGAAGATGATGATGAAGAAGAATATGAATAATAATAATTAGTAGTAGTAGTAGTAGAAAAAGAAAAAAGGAATTAGAAGATGAAGAAGAAGAATTAGAAGAAGTAGTAGAAAAAGAAGAAGAAGCAGCAGCAGACGAAGAAGCAGAATCAGCAGCAGAAGATGTAGTAGTAGTAATAGTAGTAGTAGTAGTAGAAGAAGAAGAAGAAGAAGAAGAAGAAGAAGAAGAAGAAGAAGAACAAAGACAACAACAACAACAACAACAACCAATCTTTGATTTGCTGGTAACATTTTACTAATCAGAATCATAAAAATATTTATAAAAATGCTAATTGCCTTAAATAAGGAAATATTCGAAGCATGTTTAAAAATGAGCAAAAGTTATCTTCTTTTGTAACACATAATAAAAGGATAATAAAAATAGAGAGCGAAGAACTGGAAGATGTCCAGGTATACATCTACTAGAGACAGATGTTAAAGTTAAAGAAATCTCTAGCGATTAATTTGAAATCCTATCACATATATAAAGACAATAAACATTCCTGTTACCAATTTGATTAAAATGCGAATTATTTAATTATTGAATGAAGTTATAATAATATCTATGGTATCATATCAAGCAAAACGTGGAATATTAGCAAAGTCGATTTTAAGCATACTTTAAAAAATATTTGTACATCAAAGTTGGCTGGATGTATGGCATCAAAAGAGAGTTCCACAGGAAAAAAGTGCGAGAAAAGACATGGTTACATCTAGTCAAGTCAATTAGGAATTGATGACAACTTGACGTCAATCTGTCACGTTTAAAACACTGGTTTCCATATGATCACCGAAGTTAAGCAACAACAGCCTGGTCAGTACCTAGGTGGGTGACCAAATGGGAATACCAGCTGCTGTAAGCTTGGATTTATGGATGGTTTAATGGATGTCTCAGAATTGTTAATTAGGGAATCGGGTTCAAATTGCTGTTGGATTACTTATATTAATTTATGCATAAATATTCTTTGGAAATGTATCAATCTACCACTTCTCCCCAAGCTATGGGTTAATTAGTAAGTCTTATATTCCTAAATCATTATCTCCGATAGTGTTGTAGAGTAGTTTTCACAGTGGAGGCTTGTATTTCACTAAGTCGGTCCTAAATTAGGTTCGACATACAAAACGTTAGGAACTTGCAATAATAGTTAATGACGCAGCAATCTAGTTGTGGGGCTCATACTTTAATGTCCGACATCGACTGACTCACACAACTCCACTGAGCTCACTGGCGACTGCTACTTCTACTACTTATTATCTGTGGGAGAGTCTATTTACAATAGAAATAGGTACGTTCCGGTATAACACACATCTACATCAAAAATAAATTTAAAATATCTTAAAATCTAAAAATATTGTCTGCCTTTAAATAACATGCAAATGGTTGATAAACCGTAAAAAATGAATCATTCAACTACTACTATACTTACTTGGCAGAGCTCAGGTAGTGTAATCATCTATCAGTTGCGTATCTGTCTTCGAGCAAGGTGCAAATAAATTGTGTCTCTGCTAGCGGACAGAAACACAACTGGGGAAAATACTGTGTCCCGAGGGGAAAGCTGCCCGCAACAGTATTCCCTGATTGCCCTAGAGCGTGGGGATTGGTAGTCATATCGATGCCAGCGCAATCGTCATTTGCGGCTCGGGTGTACGCGGTCTAGTGCCCCACATCAAACCCAACCTTGGGTCACATCCCGTCGCCGTGGTGAAACAGGTAAACACCTAAATACATCCTGTTAAAATTGTTTCACAATAGAAATGGGTTATTTCCTTTTCTTTTTATGTGTCATGTCCTTTCAAGACGTCGGCGAACATGGAACCTACACCTCCCTCTATCCATTGCAGTTCTCAACAAGTTCCTTTCTCTCCGCTTCCTCCCCCACCAGACCACGTTCTGTCATCCATTTGCTTAAGCCCGCCAGGTATATCACGCGTTGTTTTCCCCTGTCTCTCTTTCCCACTATTCGACTAGTGAGTATCAGATTCTCCAGGCCACCCTTCCTCATTATGTGGCCTAGAAACTTCAGCTTCCTGTTGTTAAGTATAAGGTACCTCCTTGTTTGCAACCTCTTTAAGACCTCATCGTTGCTCACACATTCGGTTCGTGATATTTTGTACAAAACACCTCTGTCGCTTCGGGTCTCTTCTTCATCTTGTGAATATCTATGCTGATGACAACTGTATAATGATCTGCCTAAGAGTAACTTTTATTTCTTTTTATGTGCCATGTCCTTTCAGGACGTAGGCAATCATAGCTCTCTCCACCCTCTCTATCCCTTGCAGCTCTCAACAAGTTCATTCCCTCGGCCACCTGTCGTCAAGAGCACGTTCAGTCACCCACTTGCTTAAAGCCACTAGGTATGTCGTGCGTTGTTTTCCCTTGTCTTTCTTTCCCTTTATTCGACCCGTGAGTATCAGATTCTCCAGGTCCTCATTCCTCATTATGTGTCCCAGGAACTTCGGCTACCTCTTCCTGATATTAAATATAAGCCTCTTCCTTGTGTGCAACCTCTCTAAGACCTCATCGTTGCTCACACGCTCGGCCTATGATATCCTTAGCATCCTTCTGTAGAACCACATCTCTGTCGCCTCGAGTCTCTTCTTTATCTTGTAAATATCTATGCTGATGATAATTGTATAATGATCTGCCTAAGAGTATCTTTTCTTTCTTTTTATGTGCCATGTCGTTTCAGGGCGTAGGCAATCATGGCTCTCTACACCCCCTCTATCCCTTGCATCTCTCAACAAGTTCATCCCCCCTGCCACCTCCCGCCAAAAACACGTTCTGTCATCTACTTGCTTACGCCCACTAGATATGTCATGCGTTAATTTCCCTTGTCTTTCTTTCCCTCTATTCAACCCATGTGTATCAGATTCTCCTCCTTCCTTCTTTCTTTTTATGTGCCATGTCGTTTCAGGACTTAGGCGATCATGGCTCTCTACACCCTCTCTATCCCTTGCAGCTCTCAACAAGTTTATTCCTTCTGCCACCTGTCGTCAAGAGCACGTTCAGTCATCCACTGTCTTAAGCCCGCTAGGTATGTCATCCGTCGTTTTCCCTTGTCTCTCTTTCCCTCTATTCGACCCGTGAGTATCAGATTACCCAGGCCCTCCTTCCTCATTATGTGTCCCAGAAACTTCAGATGTCTCTTCCTGATGTTAAGTGTAAGCCCCCTCCTTGTTTGCAACCTCTCTAAGACCTCATCGTTGCTCACGCTTTCGTTTCATGATATACATAGTAATCATTCTGAAGTCTTATAATGTTCCTATTTTAATGTGAAGTTGATAAAATGAATTAGCCATTTGAAAAGTGTCAAGACTAAATTATTTTGTTGGTACAAATTAATTCACTGTAACTAAAAGCACATTAAGTCAACTAATTCACTGGATTGTCATAGTTATAGCAGTGAGAATATAAATGACTAAATAGAATTTGCTGCTCTTAGTCTTCAGCAATTGAATTATTTCTGAACACTGAGTGAATTGGTTGGAGTTGAACAAGCATAACTTCCTTTGCTTATTTTTGGAGTCAGATAATCAGTTTACTATTCTCTTTTCATTTTTTGTAAACACGAGGGCTTGCTGTAGATACATAGAAACGTAGTAGAAAGATTTAATTTTGGGCTTTATAAATATTGTCTGAAGAGAAAAGGGCAGGACATAATAATAAAAAAAAGATAATATTAAGGACCTTTCATTCTTTATGTCCCTTTTCTTTTTTCTTCTACCATCAAGCCATACACAATGTCAGATTTTATTATGCAGGTCAATATTTGCACAATAAAATTGGTCTTAAACAATCAATATTGGCAAAATTTTCAAAATATATTTATAGGATAGATATGCGTATTTAAGTTTCTTTTGTTAGAAATATCAGAGGACATAGAGCTGAGTGATTAAAAAGTTCATTTTTTGACCATGAAATCAGGGTTCAAATCTCACTATGTCAGGAATCTGTTAATCGACCTGTGTAAGCAATCTCAGTACATGGCACCATTAGAAAATGCCTGAAAACAATGTCACGGTTTGGCCAAGCCTTGTGAGTGAAACTCGGTAGACAATTCTTTTCTTTTTTCTTCTGCCATCAAGACATACACAATGTCAGATTTTATTATGCAAGTCAATGTTTGCACAAGAAAATTGGTCTGAAGCAACCAGTATCGGTAAATCTTTCAGGATATATTTATAGACTAGAGGATTCTTGCTCAGTTACATTTTGGTTTTGTTCAACAGAGCCCAACTGTGGTTTATGCTTCAACTATACTGAGCAGACCTTAGTTACAGTTTCTGGGAGAGAGGTGTGTTATCTAGCATGACCAACAATCTGAACAAGGCAAGAACACTTAAACTCTCGATCACGATGACTTTTGACTTTTTACTAGTACAGCCATCAACAGCATTCAAGGGTTTCGTCTACCCAATTTCACTCACCAGGCATGACTCAACCCGTGGTATGGTTTTCAGGTACTTTCCAAATGTGCTGAGCACGGTTTGCTTCCTATAGACCGATAACATCAAGAAATCCCCTTCCTGACAAATAGATCGTGGTGAGATCCAAACCTGGGTCTCCTGGTCAGAAAGCTAACATTCTAAACACTTGTGGTTTATATTGCAACTAAGTTGAGCAGACCTTTGTTACAGTTTGTGGAAGAGAGCACGTTATCTAGCGTCTCGGGGAGAGAAACGCGTTATATAGCGTGATCAACAGTCTGTACAAGGCTAGCACGATCAAACTCTCGGTCACGATGACTTGTGATTTCGGCTAGCACAACTACCGACTGTTCCCAAGAGTACCGTCAGCGCAGTTTCACTCACAAGGCGTGGGTTAACCCGTGGTATGGTTTTCAGGAACTTTCCAAATGGGCTGCGCGCTGGGATCGCCTTCTCCAGACTAGTGACATCAAGAAGTCCCCTTCCTGACAAATAGACCGTGGTGAGCTCCAAACCTGGGTCTCCTGGTCAGAAAGCTAACATTCTAACCACTTGGCCACGTGGCCATAAAATAAAAACCGTCTACTTGTGCCATCGAACTCGTGTATTCACACCATAGCTATAGATGCTGGGAGAAATGTCTTTGAATCATTCCAGGAATTACGTAGATCTTTCCGCTATGATTAATGTTTACAAATATCGCATCAGACCAAAAAATGGATTAATGTAGCCATATCTAACATCTTATTGACTAATCCCTGTTAAAACTTCAAAAGCGCTTATGCGGCCTTGTGGGTGATGAAATATCATTCACCCTGCAACGTTTGTCCCCCCAAACGAAACATTGCTTGCCTGTCACCTCTCTACCACTATGACTACGACAAATGTTCTAACGGTTTACATTCTTTAGTTCCACTGTGTCAGAACTTTGGTAAGTGCCACTTAGAGATATTCCTTCCAAGAACACCCGAGAGGATGCTTCCCTGACTTCTAAAATCCTAACATTATCAAGTATAGGGTCAACCGATATCTATCCTATATATCCTCTTTAGCAATAGATTATATGTACGAGTTTCAATTGAGGTTGATTTTAAGGCCCAAGAGATGCTCAAGGCATAAGGCCTCCATGAAGAAGCATCCATTCATATTGACTGGTGTGTTCCTTAATCTAGAGGCTGGCCACTCATATTTGAGGATACCCATAAGTAGCTGGGTCAGGAACATTTTGTTTTTGTTCAACACCCACAGAGCCCACCTGTGGTTTATATTGCAACTATGTTGAGCAGACCTTAGGGAGAAAAGTGTGTTTAGCATGATCAACAATCTGAACAAGGCCAGAACGCTCAAATTCTTGGTCACAATGACTTGTGATTTCCTGCTAGCACAGCTATCAACAGCACCCAAGGATTCTGTTAATCCAATTTAACTCACAAGACATGTGTCAACCAATAGCACGGTTTTCAGGCACTTTTCAAAGTGTTGCACACTGGAATCACCTCTTCCAGACTGATAACATCTAACCTTCCTAATAAATTAACCATGCTGAGATTCAAACCCAGGTCTCATGGTCAGTAAGTGAACATTCTAATCACATGGCCAAGTGTATTTCATAATAAAAAGAGTATATTTACATAGTTATAATTCTCAAGTCTCATAATGTTCTTATTTAAAAAGTGAAGTTGATAAAATGAATTAGCCATTTGAAAAGTACCATCACTAAATTATTTTGTTGGTACAAATTAATTCACTGTAACTAAAAGCACATTAAGTCAACTAATTCACTGGATTGTCATAGTTATAGCAGTGAGAATATAAATGACTAAATAGAATTTGCTGCTCTTAGTCTTCAGCAATTGAATTATTTCTGAACACTGAGTGAATTGGTTGGAGTTGAACAAGCATAACTTCCTTTGCTTATTTTTGGAGTCAGATAATCAGTTTACTATTCTCTTTTCATTTCTTGTAAACACGAGGGCTTGCTGTAGATACATAGAAACGTAGTAGAAAGGCTTATTTTTGGGGTGGAATAATGTCCTCTTTTCGTTTCTTGCCAATGGGTTCCTCTTCATCTGACTGAATCTCAGTATAATCAAAGAGATGCCCTCGCCTTGTTATTATAGCATTGGCTTGCTACTCAATCTTTCGTTGTCAAAATTATCACATGATGAGAGTTCGTAATAATCCAATCCAACGAAGACGACAATGGTTCTAATTCTTCATTTATGTTCCGTGTCCCTTCATGACGTAACCTCCACATCTTTCTGCCCTTTGTAGCTCCAATAAGTTTTGTCTTTTTGTTATTTCTCCCAAACCTTGTTCTACCATCCTTTTACTCAAGCCCATCAAACATGTCACGCATTGCTTTCCCCTGTCCCTCTTTGCCTCAATATGTCCTCTGAGTATCAGATTTTCCAAGCCGTCTTTCCTTTCCTCATTACGTACCCCAGAAATTCAACTGTCTCTTCCTGATGTTAAGTATAAATTTCCTTTTTGTTTCCAGTTTCTCTAAAAACTTCGTCGTGGCTCACATATTCGCTCCATGGTATCCTCAGCATCCTTCTGTAGAAATTTCAACTGTCTCTTTCTGATGTTAAGTATAAGTTTCCTTTTTGTTTCCATTTTCTCTAAAACTTCGTCTTTGCTCACATATTCGGTCCATGGTATCCTCAGCATCCTTCTGTAGAAATTTCAACTGTCTCTTCCTGATGTTAAGTATAAGTTTCCTTTTTGTTTCCATTTTCTCTAAAACTTCGTCTTTGCTCACATATTCGGTTCATGGTATCCTCAGCATCCTTCTGTAGAAATTTCAACTGTCTCTTCCTGATGTTAAGTATAGGTTTCCTTTTTGTTTCCATTTTCTCTAAAACCTCGTCATTGCTCACATATTCGGTCATGGTATCCTCAGCATCCTTCTGTAGAAATTTCAACCGTCTCTTCCTAATATTCAGTATAAGTTTCCTATTTGTTTCCATTTTATCCAAAACCTCGCTGTTGCTCACATATTCGGTCCATGGCATCCTCAACATCTTTCTCTAGAACCACATTTCTGTTACTACAAGTCTCTTCTTCATTTTTGAGGAGATTATCCAGCATTCTCTGTCATACAGGAGGATAGGTATCAGGTAACGATGATTAACACTCACTAACAAAAAGGAGAATCCTTCCCAAAGCCATGACTACACGTGAAAATAATGCGCGAATTCTGTGGTAGAATATAAAGGTTGACGTGTACCTTGAAGTGTTAGACCAAAAAATGTTAATGCTGATAGGTGCTGTCATTTAAAAGCATTATACAAAAATTTGCAGAACAAAAAATGTCTATCATTGGTTAACTGTAAACGTACGTTACTTCTAAAGGATGATGCAAGAAGACATATTGGTCAAGTTAATCGGGCTAAGATTATGACACTAAATATGTTACGTCACATCCTGCCTACTCTCCCCCGTTTGCTCCATCTGGCTACCATCTTGTTAGATCACTACAATTTTTTTCTTAGAGGGAAAACAATTTGTTAATCGTGAAGATGTTGTGCGTTTCTTTGCATCGAAACCAAAAGAAGTTGGTTTCTCAAGAATCAAATCTACTGCGACATGTATACGATTCATGTTAATCATGCCGAAGCTACGTAGCTGTAACCCCAAAGGAAGTACTCACTTCAACATCCACAACTCATATGACAAAAAAAAAAAAAGACCTTAATTTTGTCCGGCTTCTGGAAATAGCGTCCGAAATAAAACCCAAGGTCATAAAACAATCAGAAATAGCGCAGACGTTTTTAGCAGTAACTGTTTTTGAGCCACTATAAAGTTAACGGGGATTTCACCGATAAAGGCAGATCTGACGAGGCTGACATCATGGACACCACAGCAAGCAACCTTAACTGGGCAATCAGCAACGGGACCAATGTGCTTCCATATATATATATATATATATATATATATATATAGATAGATAGATAGATAGATAGATAATATTAGTGGAAAATATACATACATATGCAAAATATATATAAAAATTTGACAAATTAATATCGACTACAGGTAATTTGTCAAATTTTCTCAATTACAAAGCGGCCCTTTAAGTAAACACAATTTTATTTTCCTTCGTCCCATCTCTCTCCCCCACCTCTTCTTTTTCTTTTTTTTTTTTTCCCCACCACCTC